AAATTCTAGAAAACAATGACCAATCACAGCAGCGAAAAAGCTCCACTGCCTTATAAGGTAATGAAGAAACATGTAATTTTATCGGTTCAAAGGGTTGTTGTTACCGATTTTACAGGGATCTATTTTTAGAATATTATTTTGATGATAAATAATAGAGAGGAAAATTATATTAAATTAAGAATAACAAAATTTAAACTTGTTGTGGGCTATTTCCGCAACAATCTTTTTCTCTTGCCACAGTTTGTTTACAGTAAACAAATTGTTAAATTTGTCTAAGAGGAAAACCCTAGAAAGTTCAAATGGAAAGAGATGTGTTTTAAAAAACTAATATTCCGAAACCTCGAAGATAGTGATTTATGAATTTTTGATACACCGTTCATGATATCCAAAAGTAAGTCCGAGAAAGTTTAGAGAAATGTGAGTAAGTATTGGAAAGATTTATCAAAAATCAAATGATAGACGCAGTTTCCGGACTAAAAATTTCCGGTAAACGCCATTCGATTCTATTATTCCACCTTCTTCAAGATCCATAATTGCAACCGAAAAATACATCCAACAGCGGCATCATAATTATTTTGACCACTAAAGTGCATGGGTTTTTTTCCTATGCGGTAACAAAAATAGCCCAATGCCAATGCGACCTCAATAATTGCAATATTTAAAAAAAAAACACATTAGAATGTATAATAGTTTTCAATGAGTCACCAAAAATTGTTATTTTGTCTGTGAATTGTTGTAACAATAACAGGCTGAGAAGTAGCGGTTCGCGAAACGAATCAAATATAAGTCTAGACGGATTTATTGGGCATTGGCGTAGAGTACTAATAACCTGTTACTTTTTTTCAATGAGGTAATTCTAGATAAGTTATGTTTTGTTTGGACTATTGTGTCATCAATTTATCTTAGGAAATATATTTTGTAACCTTCAAGGGAGATAACAAAGAAAACAAAAAGTTTTTTTTGTTTTCTTGGTTTTTATATTTTCTTAGACTTTGTTGGCTAATTGAGAAACAGATGATTCTTTCTTATAGCCCCTGCAAATATTCTGTCCTCTTTCAATTTATAAGAAAGGCCTAGGAGGGTAATAAAATAGAAGTATTCAAAGTGTCAACTGTAATAAAACAAAGTTTTTAACTCTGGGTTTTAATTCGCGAATCTTGAATTATCAATGATATATCTACATTACATTTGTATAATATTGGAAATTAACAATCAAGAAGTTCAGTTGTCTATTATGATTTCTTAAAAATCGTCGTGGTCAAGGTTGATTCGGATATGAAAACTGGATGAGGACGTTTGAGTGTGACTGGAATTGATTTAGATCATTACCTGTTCTTGTGATCTACTTTGAATCATAATGATCCGGTCATCGACCTTATTTCCAGCATTGAAGGCATTATGCCATTAAATATTCCATTGATGTTTTAACTTGATATAAGACACCAAACAGCCTTAGACATTCAATTGTTTAAGCATAATTAATGAATAATGTGTGATAATTATCTGTGTTTTCCATGGAAAATTATCTCTCTCTCTTCAAAGTTTACTCCTGTACATAGGCCTTGCCTTGGCTTCATCCACTTTTCTTTGTTTTGAGTTAGACATCATCCAACATGACATTTCATTTATGTAGTCGTAGTCTCCAATCCAGAATAAGTTTTGTCTAATCGCGCCATTTCTAGTATGATCCCTGAGATCATATTCTTCCTATAGCTGTTCGCTTGATCCTAAGTTTGTTGACGGGTTTTATAATCAGTAAAGTAGTTTCCATAGCATGTCATTACATGGAGGATGTTAAATATCTTCCTCTTCAAATTTATAGAGATTTTCGTCTCCCTTAGAACTACTTTTACCTTTCCATTCACCGCCCACTTTAATTGGATTCTTCTATTGATTTCTGCTATTTGGTTTTATTTGCCAATCTTGATGTTATGCCTTAATAAACGAAATTTTCTATATTTTCTACAATCACACCAATCAGATGAATTCAAACATTTTCCGAGAATATGATATGATAGGTATTTGTTTTTCCCAATCTCATTCTTCAAGTCCATCTTCTTTCAAGGGTTTTTTGGAAGAATGTATTGTAGCAATTAAGCTACTTTGTCATTTTATTATTATTTTAGATATGTAAATTTATTATATTTTAGGTGTTTTTAATTGTAATCACCGGTATTGCTGTATATAGGTATTAATTATTGTAATGCATTTAAAGCAAGTATACTTATTTCCATTTAAATTTGGGTTTAGATTGCAATTAGAAGTCAACCTGGTTTTTATGTAAGTACTACTTCCATTCAGGTGGCACCATACCATCTCTATTTAATGATTTTCGCCCAGTTCTATATCCTTCCGAATAATACCAATCATTCCGGTCGCTAACGCCACCTTTTTCGGCAAGCTTCAATTATTTGAATTGCGCACGGCCTTGCTTTAGGACGGGACACTTTTCTTAGCAGCTTAAACAACCTTAAAAGACAAGTCTAGTCTAGTGTCTATTTCACCTTTCTTTAAATAAAAAGAGACCATCAGTAATTTAATTTTCTAATAGGGTCCTACACTTCAATAAAGACGGTATGCTTCCCTAAACTTTCTGTTTCCCTACTTGTGAGGTCATTTTCATGGTTCCTGATGGATATTGCCTATCGTGTTTGATGACACCTCGACTTGGAAGTAGTGACCACAGGTTTCTTTGCGTATAAATTTTACCTTTTATATTATATATTATATTGAACATTACCCAATTATTGAAATGTCTCATTTCCATGTTCAGTTCGCTGTTCGGCTGAGCATGTGAATTTTCAGAGCAGAAGACTCAACGAAGTCGTTTTATATTTTTCATTGAGCATTTCCTAATTGAAATGTCCTCATTTCTATGTTCAGTTCGCTGTTCGGTTGAGCATATGAATTTTCAGAGTAGAAAGACTCAACGAGGTCGATTTTTATTGTATCATTTCCATTGAGTTTCTCTACATTAGCATCGAAAACTACTACTGCTACTTCTTCTATCATATTGGGTAATATCTTCACCTTTTTTTGTATGAGTTTAATAGGGGGATATGGATTTTGTTGATATTGGCCTCCAGTTCACAATCAATTTCGCAAATAGTGATTTCTGCTTCAGTTAAATAACAGATAAACAGAGGAGTTCCTTCAAAAGTATCTACTCGATTATAATGTCATGTCCAATGGAAGCAACGTAAGGTAGAATAATTCTTGCCATTTTCATTGAGTTTTTGAACATAAAATAAATACCATGAAGTTTTGTTTTCCTTGGCAGCAAGGCTATAGTATGCGCTACTAACATATTGTATTTGTGTCGTAAACTCCTTGAATAATTAAATATAGTGCAGTAGGTATACCTATCTAAAATAAAATATCAGAAAATTAATAGTTTTTCTAAATAATTTTCTTATCAAACAATGAACACACATAATCAGGCCAGCATTTTAAATTAATTCCAGCATTTTACCGCACGCCATTGTGCGAGCAAAGGCGGAAACGGAGATTTAATCTCATTTTGCTTGCAATACAATTTACTTTGTTACAATATATCAAGCACATTTCTAGTCAGTGCCAGTACGGTTGAAATATATGGGACCAAACTTAAATTTATAGCAATAATTATTACACACTTTACTGAAGCAAATTCCCATTGAAAATTTACATTTTCCATTGGTTTCGTCAAAGCAAACCAAGTTTGAAATACAAGATAGCTAGGTTAGAAACATAATAATAATTATGCAATTAATAACTCCGGCAATGCGCGATGCCAACAAAAACAATAACTTGAATGCGTAACTCTGGGTAGCCCCCTGGTGCATTTCTAGAACAATAAAAATAAACGTTTCTGGACAAATAAACGCCTCCTGGAAAACTATGTTGAAACGGCGGTGTATATTCTGACTAGCTGGCACACTATGATAGAACTAAAACAAAATAATATTATAGAGATGGATGATGTTTATGTCTGGAAAGTATTTTAAGGATCCTTCAATTGTGTTTGGGTGTGTGTGTGCGCGTGTGTGGGGAATACATTTTTGAATGGTCTTGCTTTGTCTGACTATTTTGTTATTCACTTTCATCTTATTTTAGTTGTTTAGTGAGCGCCAAATGCCAATTACAAAATCTAAACTAATTTCTTAAAATCCCCAAAGTTAGTGGTATCAATAATTATGTCTATGTCAGAAGCAAACATTAGAGCAATCGATATCTGCCAATATTCTGAAGAGATTCTAATTCTTCCTATTTTAACTGAAATTATGTCGAAGATTCTCAATAAAAAATTGTTGTCACTACTTCTCCATGGATAGTAGGTAACTGTTACTGAATTTTATAAAAAGCATTACTCTCATCTGCAATTTATCAAAACGTCAAATGATGGATGAATTTCTACTAAGTGATACTCATAATATAGGAAGAGCATTAAGCTTAATCCACATAAGAACATTTTGTTGCTGGTTGCCGCAACCGGTTTATGGGAACAGAAAGAACAGCAAAAGTTCCGTGAACATTCTGTCCATACCTCATTTTTGTGAATGTTTCGTTGTGTTGCTACAACAGTAAACGCTGAGTCTACACCAGCAATGTGTGTTCCTAGTTTCGAAACAATGTGGTGCGACGACGATTTACAGACACACAACGACTAAGTTTCAAGTTTTGGGAACAAGCAACAACGTGTCCACACTGATAAAAATTAAGTTCAGAAACACAAAATTTTTACAACAAGCAACACATAGGAACTTTTATTGCTGCAACCGTAAACATTAAGCAACTTGAATAAACTTTTGGAAATACACAGAAACAAGTTCCAGGAGCAAGCAACATAAACACAATGTTCCATGTTCCTATATGTTGCTTTCGGTGTGGACGTCGCTTTAGGCTGATAGCACAGAGGATACCATAGTATACCCTATTTTGTCTCACGATGACCGATTAAATAAAACCTAATAAAGAACCCGAATCTATTTTGCTAAATTTGTATTTTTGTTTTATTCCAGATGCTGTCGGTGGTGAGCGCCGGTGCCGCGGCTGGTATGGGCGGCATGGACCGGTTGCGTGGCGGGGGAAGAGCGGCTGCAAGAGAACTTGCCGCCTCACGCGAACGGCAAGTACGACTGCACGCTGTGAGAACTGATCTGACGCTGAACTTGCCGCCCAGTATAGCGTTGCCCGATGGCGAAGAACATCGAACGTCCTATTCGTCAGCTGCCGCCTCCAGGCTACAACTTAGGGATGCTGAACAGGTACGAACAAAACAATAATTAACTCAACTCTTTCATCCTATTGTTATAAAGTTTGTCAACATGGCAAAACAAGCAAAGTTGAAAAACCTAAATAAGATCATGTGATAGAGATTTTCATCAGCAAACTGATTACTAAACAAAAATCATTCGTATCAACCTGAGAGGAAATTACCTTCGACAGTGGTTATCGGAGTGGTTCACTATGCGTTATTTTTACTTGGTTTTTATTATGAAATTGGAATTCTTCCCAGACCTACATAAATAGTCATGCAAATTTAGATGCTCTTTGAAAATTACCACAAAAGGAAAATCAATAGGATAAGGAACTAGTTTTCGATCTAGTGTCATGCTACCAACACTAACTTCAACAGATTTTAAAACTGCCATTGAGATGTACAGAGAGATTGTACAAGAAACTCAAAAATATTTTATTGTGTCCAGTGTTTTTGAATGTAGGCAGCTTGGAGAAAATATTACAGAACATGGATTTTTCATTTATTCAAGGCATCTTTGTCATTATGAGAAAAGTGTGGCTATACTTATCCCATGTGTTTTGAGAAAAATACTTTCTACTTAATGAATTTCACGAAGCAGACACTGGCGTGGTCAATATGAAAACTTTGGGTTAGTATGGTGGCCAAACATTGATGATGATATCCAAAAAATAGCAAGAGAATGTTTGAACTATTAAAGTCTTCCAACTGAAAATGAATCACCAAAATCCTTTTAAACACGTTTTTAAAATATAAAAATAAAAATGACTGGTCTTAAGACTTCCATAAAGATGTAGAATAATCTTTAACACCCTCCCTCATTAGAAATCTTAGTTAGGCAAATATTGTCACATAAAATGTAATGTCTTGGTTTGAATAGGGCTTTTGTCATTACATCAGCAACTTGAGTTTCTGTAGACGTTTTGTGTTTCTTCTGAGACAAGCTCTCTCACATAGAAATGTCGAATCTGAATGTATTTGGTTCTCTTGTGGTTCTCAGAATTTTGTGTCAAACGAATAGCTGCTTCGTAATCAACTAATAACTCTGGAATTTCTTTCAGTGTTATTATTTCTTCATATAATCTTTTTAACCATACAAGTTCTTTTGAAGCTTCGCTAGCTGCAGCGATCCCCGCTTCGGTTGTAGAAATTGCAACTGAAGGTTGTCTCTGACTCATCCAGGATATAGCACCTCCGGCATAAACACATACCACTCCTGTTGTGGCGCGTCCTGCTTTTATAAAGGGTAAAAGAGGTAAGTTCTTCTGGTTCTTGGCCTGCAAGTGATACCATAATTGAGTTTTCCTTGAATCTAACGGAAAATTCTCTTCACTTGGACAAAGTCTTTGTGAGTTGGATTTTCCAAATTTCTTGACGCCACACTGACTGCGTATTAAATGTCTGGTCTTGATCTTGACATCAGGTAAAGTAATGCTCCAACAGCCTCTCTATGAAAAATTTGATATTTCGGCTTCTTCTGAAAGAGAATTATCTTTAACAATTGGAGTTTTGACAAGTCTGCAATTGTTCATACCAAATTTTTTCAACAATTTCTTGGCATATGCATTTTGATTTATAACTGATTCATTCTTTGACTTCAGTATTTCCATACCCAAAAAATATGATAACTTTAAACTCTGTAGTTGTAGAAAATAATTTTTCATTTCCTCATTGCTTAAGGCTAGTAGACTATCGTCCACATATAAAACTAAGAAGAGACATGAATCGGCATCGCTCTCTTTGAAACCAAAGGATAGAATGATATCCATTATTCTTCTGCTCCAACACCTAGGAGCTTGCTTAAGTTCATATAGGCACTTTCTTAGATGGCAAACCCTATCTGTACCATCATTGATACCCTCTGGCTGTTTCTTGAAGCTCACCATATATGTAGAAATGCTGTAAATACATCGAACTGGCTTAGACTTCAATTTACACTGGCAGATAGACTCAAAACAGATCGTATTACAGCGAATCTAGCAACTGGGCTAAATGTCACATCATAATCTTAATATTTCTTCTGTGAATAACCTTTTGCGACTAGTCTGACTTTGAATTTATCTATAGAGCCATCTGGATTGTGTTTTAACTTATATACACCCATTTATTTAGTATAGCCTTCTAAACATTGGGTAGCTTTCCTAAAGTCCAAACACAGTTCTCCTCTAAAGACTTCATTTCTCTTCCCATAGCCATTTTCCAGTCATTTGCTCTATTACTTAATAAAGCTTTTGTACGTAATGGACTCATTTATTTCCATAATATCTCCAGCAACCATCATAGCGAAATATTCAAACCTGGCAGCTTTTGTATCTGATTTCTATCTCCCAGTTGTCTACTCGGTACATTTGGGATTTCTTCTGAAATGTCATTATCTGGTGATTACACTAATGTCAGAACGAGTGTCGGAAAAACTGTGATTCCCTAAACTATCGTCTTCTTCGCCGTCTTGTCTATTGTTTTCTTTAGTTTCTTGTTCTAGAGTACCTTCCCTGCTTCTTACAATTTTAAAATTATTTTGCTGAGAAGTTCCAACAGGGTCTTAGTTTTATCAAGTTATCAATGATTTGAAAATTGATATCGATTTTCAAGTCAATGAGTTTTTCGTCGAATATCACATCTCTCGATCTGACTAGTTTCTCAAATTCTTCACACCAAATCGGATATCCATCAACTTGTTCATATCCTATAAGTATGGTTTTCACAACCTTTTATATCAATTTTATTTCTACCTGTCTTTGGTACATAGGCATAACAGGATGTTTCAATAATTCTCATGTGTTTTACAGAAGGCTTTTTCTCATATCACAGTTCAAATGGAGATTTTCCTTTAATACTAGAATTACCAGTCAGTCCTATTCAAAATGTACGCCGATGTATTTATTATTTCATCCCAAAAAAGTTGTGAAAGATCTTCATTAGTATGCATGATGGATCGAGCAGTTTCAACGATAGTACGACTATCTCGCTCTGCACAACCGTTTTGCTCTAGTGTATGAGACATTACGAGTCTGTTTGATTCCACTTTCTTGTAGAATTTTTCTCACTTGACCATTGTCAAATTCTTCACCATTATCTGAGAGTAGCTCTTTTACTGTATGTCCTACTGTTTTTACTTCAGTTAACATAATTGTCAGTTTTTCCGCAACTTCAGATTTTTCTTTCAGAAAGTAAACATAACGATATCGACTGAAATCATCCTTGAAGAGCACGAAGTATGTATAGCCACTTCTGGATTTTTCAAAATGCCCACAAACATCTGTATGTAAAAGTTCTCCTGGTACCTTTGCTCTTTCTCTCGTTCCAAACTTCTCCCTATGCATTTTACCATAAATACAACCCTCACATATTTCGCTGTCTAAACTCACTTTGAGATCGAAGTCACGACTCAAAATATCTCTGATGTGTAGTTTGTTTTGATAACCAAAGCTTTCATGGTATAGTTGCAATAAGTTATCATATCATGCTCTAACCATTTCTCCATTCGCTGTCGTTATGGTGTGTGTATCTTGAAAATATTCAAATGTTTCAAAGATATCACTTCGATTTGTAATATTATGACTTGTAGCCCCATTCTAATTTTTTCATTCAAAACCTAAAGTGAGTGGAGAGTTAAAATTTTGAGAACTTTTTCCTAAAGGTTCAATGTAGAAAATACTAAAAACTCAAAGCAATTGTTTGTATCCTTATTTTTCTGTTTTCTGTTATTTCTTGAATTTGAGCTTTCTGGTTTTAGAGGACTACCATCTTCTTTCCATTTATTAAATTGTTTGACCTTATGACCTCTTTTGCAATAATTGCAAACTAGTTGTTTTCTTATTGATCGGGCTGCTTTTCTTTTCTGCAAGTAATGCACTTTCATTATGCTTGTCTGATAGTGCCTTCTCATAAGAACAAAGCTGATTTGTTAAATTGTCTATAGTCCTGTCAGATTTCGACAATAAAATCCAGCTTGACTTGGGGTAGAGTTTCTGAAATCTTACAGACTAACAGCAACTCATGCAACTCACAATTACATGTTTTATTTGTAATGATTTTTTCTTTTGATAACCCCTTTTGCAGCTCATTCCACAGGTTCTTGAGCTTAGACGTGTGCGTTGGCATATCATCTTCAACTTTCTTCTTAAAGTTAAGGAATTCTAAGCAAACATCATAGGTATTATCCTCGACATTCCCATCAAAGAGCCTATTCAATTCAACCCACACTTTTCTTGCTGTAGAAAACCTCATAACTTTTTGTAAAGTAGGTATTTTGTGTCATATTTATAGTAAAAGCAAGAAGTTCATTACAATCTGCAGTATTGAAACTCAGCAGGCTTGCCTCATGCGCAGTAATTTCAACTGCTAATGCATTTTCTGAACTGGAAGCACCAACTTTCCTTCCAAAATATCAACTGCATTTGGAATACCTCTTAGAAGAGTGTTCATTTTGTACTTCCATGTGGTCCAATTAGCTTTAGTCCACCTTCCAGTAATCCTATATGAACTTTGCTTGGTTCCATCCTTCAAAGTTCAATTACTATGTAGGTACTTTTTTATACTAATTCTGTCCTCGATATTCCTAATTTTTCGCGCCTCTTTTAACGCTCTGCTACCATGTTAAAGTTTGAGAAACCATAATTCAAATTAAGAGGAAAATACGAAATATATTTGACACACTAATACAAAAGTGATTAATTAATTGACACTCTCTCAAACACCTTTTTAAAATATAAAAATAAAAATGACTGGTCTTAAGACTTCCATAAAGATGTAGAATGTTCTTCAACATTCAATACTAACTATTAAAGTTTTGCGAAATATTTTTGCCCGTTTTGAATTACCATCTATTCTGACATCTCTCGTGATTTCACCTGAAAAAAAAAATCAACGTTTATTCGAGGTAATGTAATCAAACATAGATTTTCCACGTCATCGTTTCAGGAGATGGTTCTTGAAAAATCCATTGAAGAACCAGAGGATATTTGAACGATAAATTGAAGAACTTTTTAATGAGATATAGAAGAA